AATAGCTACACAACAATTTATGATATTAAATTGAATTACAGCATCGCAATAATGATTAAACAGTATGACAGACAAAAAAGTTAGTGTCTTTTGGTCAGCGCATTTTCGTAGAGAAGTGTAAAATGTAGGTAAAAATGATACTTACGAACAACAATCATGCACAGAGGGTGACTTTTGAAGGAACGCTTCCCTTTCCGACCACGGAGGCTGTAGAACGACCACAGACGGAATGTTCCCATCTTTCGCATCATGTGGCGAACTATGTCGCCGCACGAAGTGCCCCCTACTGCGCCCAGATAGCGCAACTGCAAAGCAAAGGAGAAGACCCTACATTGTTAAGCAAAGATTACAATTGTTACCATAAATGCATTGAACATGTAATGTTCAAGATACAAAGTTATTTCAGGGTCAGTGCTGAAATAAACTCGTGGAATAAAAAGACTTATTTACCATTTGTTTTCTAAAGGAACTATCTTGGAGCTTTTCCTTCGTTTGTTCCATGTCGTCGATAGTGTCCATGGGCTCAGTCAGAGGCTCCTCGTACGGGTAATTAGAAGCACTGGCATCACCAGATGACACCAGTCTTCTAAGTAGGGACAGCTCCTCCTTTTGGTTTTCGATGATGGTGTCCAGTTTCATCAGCACAGTTATTTCAAAGTCTAAGGATTTGAAGGAAGAAATCATAGTTCAGATCCAAATTAATATTCTTTACAAGAGAAGAGTTGACTCGTCCTTTGAGAAAAATAAGATGACTTAAAAATGGAAAGTAGAAAATGGGAAATTTCCCATATTTATGATTATGTTTTTCAAGAGATATTCAGTAGGGTGTAAAACGTGGTAATATATTCTGAATTCAAGAGAATGAAAAACACCGAAATCAAATTTTTGCAATGAATACATTTTGGAAAAAAACAATGTACTGTAAAGTATAAACAACTTACTTTGGCTCCTTTTACCCGTAGGCCTAAACGGCGTGGATGTATTTTCACCTACGTAGAGTAACAAAACATTACGGAGAAACGGTACACATTAAAACAGCCAGTTTGGGTATAGCTCAAGCAATGACATACGTGTAAAGGGTTGAGACCTCTTGGTTCAGAAGCAATTTGCCCTATGTTAAATGACGTAACCATCAACCCAAATATATTATCATGTTTTCCGATCTTATTTTGAGTTTTTAGGCTTTATGCTAGTTAGACGAAAATTATTTCTGTTAGTACCTGTCTGATTCAATTTAAACTTTCAGTAGGATGAGTAAATATCTGAACAAGCTGCTATTTTATACTCCATTCAATATTTTACGCTAAAACACAGTTCCGTAATTACAGTAGAATATACTGATCCATACCTTTTGTGCACGAAGCATTTGAAGAAGTCGAGGGGACCGAGGAGGCTGGAGCTGTGCTGTGGGACATAGTCACTGCATCCATGTAAATTTGAAAAGGTGACAAAGGTAGTGAAGAAATGTGACTGACTTTTATATATTTTGATAAACTTCGCTTAACTCTGAGCGATTTGCCTGTAATATGTATCGGGACACTAAAATTTAGCAACGGCACTTGAACATAGACCACAGGTTATAGCAAAAGAAACAATACATGTAATAGGGAGTAAAATTAAAGGCTCTACCTTGGTTGAGAAAATCGATGTCTACATCTGGGGGATTTGGTAGGGGCTTCGGGGTTGGTTGCTTCTTCAATGGTGCAATATCTGAAAATATTACAAAGGCGATCAACATTAGGCATAAGAGACAATTTACAATATACGCAGCGTGCGTGACGTGTTTACTTCATAAGACAGTCATTGCTCTCAAACAAGGCTGATGCGTTCAGGAATCTTACTTACCATATTCGCTGTCACTCCCCACCTCTGATGAGGAAGACGACTGATATCTAGCAGGTCGCTTTCATCGACGGGGCTCATCATCGCTGTCCACCGATTCGACAGTTGACGTATCCTCTGCAATTTTTGCATTATGGAGTGCCATTTCATAAGAATCTGTAAAATAATTTGCAACACATTACACAGTGTTGCAAATGGCATCATAAAAATGTATATCATACAAAATGTACATGAAATGTACATCGAAAGCTCAATTCATTGCGTGTTCAACTTTACTTATACTTGGATTCGAGCGCACTTCTAATAATAAATTTAGTGAAAGAGAATAGCTGCATACCTTGCCCCCATTTCACCGTGTAACATTTTTGATCATGATAAAACACGATTCCTCTTTACTTTTGATTGAATTATAATGTTGCAAAAGGGGCATTTACCAGTATAACTGAACACCCGTATCTCGTAGCTGGTCCACTTTTCTTCATCTGGAATCTCCCTTTACGAACCCCTGTTGAGGCATTCTTTTTGGGCCAGAAACACCTTAATGGTTCCTTGATAAAAAAGACAAAAAAAATCACCATCGCACAAATATGATACATCAGGCCTGTATATTGTAAAGACAAAATGAACAGAGTCTATCTGTGACAATAATTTTTAAAATCGTCTATTTTAAATCTATTGAAACGTAATGCAGTAATTGCTAATGCACTAACACTTATGAAGGACACAATGTGTAGCTACTGACCCCTTGTTTTTTCCTTATCCAAGATTTATGGACAACTTCCACTGACCCTTCCTGAAGAAATTCCACGACAGCAAGGTAGTCATAGCACAACTGTTACAACGAATCGAATCGAAACTGCCCTCTACACAATACACCTGTTGAGAACAGGTCAAATATGGGTTAGAAATGCAACGGTTCATTCAAGGAGAGTGACCCAACTTAACCTCTCCGTACTATCCACATGCTCTTTAATACGCCAACACTGATAAAAATTTATCAGTCATGGATACTGGGAAAGGGGTCAAACTGCCCTGCTCTTGGATTGTATTTAAGCATTAACAGTATTATTTAGAAGAAGGCCTCTTCTCAAGGTTGAAGCTGCAAGCAATAGTTTATCCTGTTTTTTGGGGGGGGTCTAACAAAGATTTGGGGCACTGGCGAGTTGCATTGTAAGTTAACTTTGCAGAACAGTGGAACTGCCAAAAAAATAAATAAATAAATAAATCCCCCTAGATATCACACAGTTTTGGTGTGAACCAGAAACGTACAGATTGAGTATGATTTACTTTCTGGTATTAGCAAACTGATTAATCTAATCAATATCAACATTAGCTTTTAAATTTATTTTTAATGAATGTTAACACTGATTGATTAAGCGTATTTTTCTTCTCACAATTACCAAAATCAGGAGGCTTTGAAACAAATTAACTTTAATTAATGTACAAGCACCTTCAAAAGTCATGCAGTATTGCCAGAAAGACTGCAGATGAATCCTTCTCAATCACAATGGCCTTCCTCACCAGAGACTCTTGTGGGATTCGCTTCGTGGATGTGACGTATTTATTGACTTTAAAACACCCAATTAGGCGAGAATCACAAGGCTGTAAAAACACTGGTTCGGTATTACTATAAACCCTACAAAGAAAAACTTGGCGACCGTCATCATCTTTTTTGTCATCTCCAGTCACTTCGCAAACAGAATGCCCGTCTAGGATGTACCCATTATTTGGCTTTTTATTCGATACTTGAGGACATGGGAATTTTGGAATATTCCTGAGCTTCGCTGTCTCACTAATCCTCTTGGCTATTTGCACGCACTGGGTTTCGACCTGACCGTACCAGCCTCTTCAACTGTTGCAAATAATTCTCAAAAATGAATGCACTGTACTTGTCTAGACTTCCAAGCTCACTTGCATCTTCAGCCAAATGAACCATACTATGCACGTTATAGACAAGAAACTTAATGCCATACAGCTTAAAACATTGAGAAACAAAACATGACATCTTGTTTCATTACTGGGATAGCACATCCGATTATTTATACCACCCTTTCAGAGGATAACAAAGAAGATACTAACCGACAACGTAATGAAAACCTATCTTTAACCCTACATGTAACTGCCCAAAACCTGCCATACTCCAACAGCAGGTTTTGTGAGGTTTTGGCAGGTTTGGTACCGTACCTGAGGAACTTGTTGTTGAATTTGGCGAGACTTGGGATGAAAGGCCCAGGGAGATGGTGTTGGATTCTGTGTGAGTTGGGACACACACACGGGTCACTGTGCAGTGTCTGGCTTGCTGCACCAGTTGTTGGACTATGCTTGATTTTCTCAGGTTTGGTACTGTTCAGTGCAAGTCATCCTATACTGCACAGACCCATCCATACCATATGACTCAAACTCCCGCTAACGGGCTCATTCTGTTGGTGTTTATCATGTTGGTACAGTAACCTGCATGTACAAGTACATAGACAAGTACATGAACCTGTTGGATTTTGTGAGGTTCAGTGTGCTTTCTAGTGCAGGAGCCTAGGGGGTTAGGGTTAACACTTAAAAGCATCATTATGAAATACCTTCGTACAACATAATCACAACGCCAAAATCCAACTTAATGACGACGTTCTGAAAATACCTAGGCACTACCTCACAGTAACGTAAAAACAGGTAACATTTCGACAACGTTATGAAAACACCCACGTTTTAATGTCATCACAACGTCAAGATTAAAACATTACAGCAACATTTCAAAACACCACATTACAACAAGAAACAACCATCGCACAACGTCAACGCAACGTTATATGGCAACTTTCAAAGGACGTTGTGAAAATAACCAGAATACAACTTTTATGCATGTACAACCACTTACTGAACACTCAAAGGTTGTGGTAACGTTGTTGTAATGTCATCATGGCACATGACCAAATGACAACCTTTACACAACGTTTCATAACGTTGTGGCAACGTTATGTGTTAGCTGGGTACCCATTTGAATGACATTTTTTCAAAGGTATACATGTACATGTAGGTCTTGTATGATGTTTTTTTCTGTAAGGCAGTATGGGTAAAAAAACAGCAAGTCTAAGTAATCAGAAATAAAGGAGGGCACCCTAAGTATTAGACTGTTAACATTTCAAATCATGGAAATGTAGTCAAATAGGCCTAGGCTAGCTGTTTAACCAAGACACTTGTAAGGTTACACATTGAAAATATACACTGTACATATAAGTTGCCATGATTGATTGGTTTAAGTTTGGTTTTCCTTCTGATTAATGCATTTTGTATGGGTAGTCGTTAGATCATGTTGGGCGTTGTCTTCATTTAAATTACACTGCAACACTGCACCACACTCGTAATGAGTAAATTACAATGTAAATTACAATGTAATTTACCCTGCACTAGTACAATGTACATGTACATTGTACATTTAGACTGCAATGTACATGTAGACGACATCCACTGGGCTACATGTAGGTAACGTTAGTCCTACACTTTTGCAAATGACTGTGACACCACACTTCGTTTTCTCAGTGGTTTGACTTGTGCCTTATTCCAGTGTGCAGTAAACAATTATGCCATCAAATCTGCCAGCACCTGGTGGAACCAACCTACAAAGCATGACTCAACACTGGGTCACTGGTCATGCTGGTCCCCACATCATTAACAGGCCTACTCAAAACTTTAACAAACTTTGTTATACTGATTCAAGGAAATAACTTGGGAATCTACTCTTGATATTCAAAAGTAGGATTGCACATTTAGATCTTCTCAAACTTGTAAAAAAGGCTCATTAATTTTTAAAAGTTAGCCACTATGCCCCTCACTCCGACCTGCGCGTGATAACCACAGAGGGGGTGTTTGCACAGTAGAACCAGAACAAGTAGGCATGTACGGTGACGATGGCCTTTGCACCGACTAGGAAAAGTATATGTACATGTACATGTACGTGTCAAAACGTTAGCAAGTCCTGAAAACAAAAAGGGGTTTTCACGTACCTGCATCAATTGACCATCTTTGGAGTTGTTTATGTGGGAAAGTGGTACTGTAGGGTGTCCCACGCTTCACCAATGACTTCCTTTTTGGGGTAAAATCGTGAAGTTTTAAAAAACGTGAGAACTAAAACTTCAAGCGCAGTATAATCATCGCGGGCCGGACGGACATGACTAACGCATGTAAAGCGCCCTCAATTGGAAAAGGCCAGTACGCGTACGCTAACAAGACTACTTGAGCTTCAAGAACGTTCGAGCATTGGGGCAAGCACAGAGCAAGGACTTACAGAGCAGTGACTTGGAGGTCAAGTAGTACGAGAACCGCGCTGTCGTCAAGTTTGTGATTGTGCACGTTACAAGAGGGAGGGGCTCCTCCCCCATCTGACCGGGGTTTCTTTGAACATTTTGCCAAATCAAAGGGCCCTCTTTCATTTTCTTTTCTCATATCACAGTTTTTATATTAGGGAAAAGTGAGTAAATCAAATCAAATTAAACTACTTGAAATTACCTCGGCGTTAACACCCTTCTACCCTTATTTTTTTTTTCAGTTTGATCCTGATGAATGCAGTGCCCTCCCCCATCCCAGGAGAAATGCCAGCACCTATGCCTAACAAGAACCGTTTCGGCAAATTAAATATTTCCACAATATAATTCAATGTAAATCAGAGACTTATTTTTTTCTGATCTTATTCTTTCATTCAGGAAAGAGAAAGACTTGAACAATACCTTTTAAAATTTTTCATATTCCTTGGGGTGTCCTCATTAAATCAATTTTCCTTTCATAGCTTCTTAAATTTCCGGAGCACTTTTCAACGAGAGTAATCCATATGGCATAACTTCCAGGTTTTTTACATACTAAATGTAAGTAACTTAAGAGGAACAGAAAGTTGCAAAAAAGGCGTAATAAAGTGCAGTTCAAATCATGGACATATTATTGATGTCTCATGCCGCATATTTTATTTCATTCAATTAAAATCCTCCGACTATTACACTGATTACAGAGGTTACAAAACGTACATGGAGTATTCATCTAGACTTCAAAATTCCCTTAGTTTGCCTCGAGTATATTGACCTTGAGTGGCATAGAACAGGCCATACAAGATCAAATATCAGTGTACTTTCTCACCCATATTTCTCCAAAATGTCTAAAGAGCAAAGGGCTTGTATTTATATTACATAAGCCTGACACATAAGCAAGCCCGTTTTTGATAGGTGGACCATTCTGGAATACAAAATGCATAGATCAAAGCCACTTAGAAGTTTCCTGAGGGAGACTGGAAGTGTTCAGTACTAAGGCCTTAAGCTATTTTATTTTTCTATCGCAAGGTGTTCCCATCATAAGACTCAAATCTGTGACTTTCAAGACCAAGCATGGCAAATCGGATAGAGAATCTTCTGTTTATGAAAAAAAATCAAAGAAGTGGAAATAAAGAAACATGAATTGCAATTTACTTCTCAAATCTTCCACCCCTTTCCTCTTGTCCACTTGCAGGTGGGTATAGTTTTTGGCCAAAAATTTCAACTCTTGAAAAAGGTAAGATATGGCCATCAACACAGACAACTCCATAAGTACTGATTTACACGAGTCATTTGAAGAGTATATGTACCATATTTTTTACAACAACCTCATACTTTTCAACAAAGTGGGACATGCCCATGGAGTGGTATATACTGTACTACAACAGGGCCATATATGCACGGCTGCCAAATTCATATTTAACACACAGTGTACCTCCACAGACTTCTCAGACTTTGTGTGTGCTTGAAAAACAAAACAGAGCATTGGCATGTTAAATTTAAATGTCAGTCGAGTTGACTGAGTCAAGGTATGCTTGGTGTTTGAAACCATTAGCTTGTACCTGTGTATACAGATGGCCAGATAATGGCAATATGCAATCTTGTCTAAAATGGATTTACAAAAATAGAAATAAGAGCATATCTTGTTTAAATACAGACATTCAAGGAAAAGGGACCTTCAAATTTAAGAGTTGCTGTTGAACCTTTCCATTTTATTTGTTTTCTCTTTGGCAAGCAGCAGACCCTATCTACATACATGTAAATATCTGTTTGTTTGTCTATCAAATTAGCAATCTAATTTATTCGCGGCAAGAGCCTTGTTCAAGTCATGAAAGAGACAATAGGCAAGGACAGTTGTTTGCAGAAAAAGATACAAATTTTCCAGAAGCACCTAATGCGTGAAGCTCCTATCAGAAATACAATTTTAAGCTTGAGTTAGTTACATTTACTGACTATGAGTACAATTGACATCTTCTTTCCCATACCGAGATATGGAATGTGTTTCAAAACCTAAAATTCACATTTGCATTACACTTATTTTTCTTGTCTGCATCGTACAATTTTTTTTCATTCCACATACTGAGATATGGAACGTGTTTCAAAACATAAAATTCACATTTGCATTACACTTTTATTTGTTGTTTACATCGTACAATTTTTGTTTTACATCTGCATTTTGTACACATTCTGAGTCAATTCATCTGCAGTCATAAAAATTGGACGATGATCTATGGGTGACATCACTGTTCAAATATGAAGTAAATTAAAAGCCTTCAGAAAACTACAAATAAAGAAAAGGTCTTGATTATTCACTTAAAAAGTTACAGATGTTTGGAATTGAAATAAAACTGTAAGTAGACATCACACACCAAATTTATGTTAACCTATGTACAGACTTCCTTGAGTGAACCACAAACGATCAGTCTGTATTATGACCACATTAAGAAATATTAATTCAGAAGGTATTTATGACCATGGGTCACTGCAATTTCTATAAATACTGCAAACTTCCTAGCCCTTCACATCACTCCTGCAATGGGCAAGGTTACACCCGCTGATTGCACTGCTAGAGTGCGGGGCAGCATCTCCGATAATCCCCAGCAAAACAAAAGCAATAAGCGACCAATGTAAAAAAAAAAGGAAATCTGCCCCTGCTACCATAACCAATACCATTTACCCTGTGTAATTTCAACAACAATAACAATAACAATTCCAGCTTTATTTATTGATGGTAGCAATATAATCTCCAGTATGTTTTTCAAAGGGCTGCCAGTAACCACTTGAGAAACGTGACGATCTTCAAATTACAACTGCAAAGATATGAGGATAATGTTCAGTTTTAGAAGTGGAAGGAAAAACTCCACATGAACATTATAGAGAAATTACCCACAAAATTAAGTAAAGACTGAAAAAATCCACACATTAAACCTGGGATGGATTCACAAAAGCGGAAGGTGACAAAAGTGTCACTATGCCAACCTGACGCCCCATTCTACCAGTCCACTTTTCACTGCTGAGCCAAACCAACACTGACACCAAAATAAACCTTCAAGACCATATAGTTATGTACAGCATAGTTCTGATATAAGTTGGTTGAAAGAGCTACATTTTCCCAGTAGACATAATGGTCTGGGCAGTTAGTGGGGAGGCTGTGGCTGGGGCAGCTGCACTGCTGCCGTCATGGGGATGCCACCAGTGGCAGCATCAGTGCCTGATGTCTCATGCGTCACAGTGCCTCCTGTTTCCTGTGTCAGTACCTGCTGTCTCCTGCATCCTCTTCTGTCGCTTCTCCTGCAGTTCTTTCTGGATCTTGTAGATCTTCTCAGCCAAGAGGTGATAGTACTCCTCCTGTGACAAGACCAGGCAATTAATGAGTGAATTAAAAAGTGAGCAAGGGTGAATGGTTTTCCAGGTGATTTTCCTGCAATGGACTCTGGACTTCCTAAGGGGCCACTCAAAAATTTCAGTGTATTTTTTAATTTTGACTTCTTTTTGGAAATAGAAGGTGGGTCAAGGAAGTAAATTGAAAATCGAAATTTACTTTTTATATTGAAATCCAGAAAAACGTATCTTTCTGACTTGCCTGAAATACGTGTAGCGTGCACGCCAAGCCAGCATTCCAAAAATGCAATCTTTATTAACTTTGTTTCTATATACAGACATATTGACTGTTCCTGTACATTATTATGTACGTGTGAAACATCATGGAATGAGGTGGTTTTTTTACTCTTAGACTTGGAAGCTGGGCACTTGCAGCGGTGATAAAAGACAAATGCAGCAGGGTACCAGGCGTATTATATAAACCTACTATATAACCAGTTGCTAATAATGGTGATATGTTCATCATCTTGAATCTAAGACTAACCAGACAGCAGCAAACTGCATCCAAATCTGTAGGCTAAAGCTAGGTCTACGTCTCCATTCCAATAGAAATACATATGCATGTGCGTGGAGATGCGGTTGACTGAAGGCGCAGCCACAGCTCAGGAGGTTGATTTTTGAGTGGATTGGACAGGGCATGCTGTTGTGTGCGCAATCAATTGCAGTCATTTCTTTTGCAATTCCAGCCATCATCTTGGCATACTGTGTTGCATTATAGATTTTTACATGTATTTGAATTTACATGTATATCAAATGCATGTATAATGAACATGTACTGGATGAAAATTCAATTTTTTAAAATCAGGTGGGTGGGAAAAGAGTCAAAATTTAAAAAACATTGAACATTTTGAGTGGCCCCTAATCTGCGCACGAACCGTCAGTGGAAAGACTCTGATGAGAGACTTGGCAAACACCTGCACTTCTCTAAGAGTAGGAAGTGTCCTTATACATCATACAGAGTTACATGTAGTTGTTTGTGAGGCTAAGTTCAACCTTCCATAAAGTCAAATATTAAGTTCTATTCCAATTTCCAACAAACAGCAGCAACCAACTATTTCTGTTTGTTCATCTGAGTGGTTTTTCCCTCCGAGTTTCAGCAGAGGGATTTGTCTCCTACTTAAAGAGGTTCGGTCCTAATTGGGGATTCATTCCCTGAGTAACAGCAAGATCACAAATCATGAGAAAAGGAACACTGCAAGTCAGAGTAATTTGGCCTTATTGCTGGACATATGCACAGCTACCTTACAGTGTACATGTATACCTGTATTAGTTTACAGAAATAGACTGGCAATGAAGTCACTAGAGCACCTTTATGCGCCTTGGGGGACTATGAGTGATCAGTTATGTTAGAATTCAGAGGGGAAAACATCAGCATGGAGCAAATAGATAGGGTAAAATGTGTATGTATTTTCAAAGTTAAGGGTAGACTAACAAGAAATCTCAATAGCTCTCAAAACTAAATGACCAAATATCTACATACCTCCTCGATTTGAAGCATGGACTATTCAGGAACAGATTTCCTCGAAAATTTAGACTGTTGGAGCCTTAGTTATGTCACAATTGAGAGGGGAAAAGTTCTGCAAATGCGAGAAGGTGAAATATTTTCAAAGTGAAGGCTAGAGCAATGAAAAGACTCAATAACTCTCAAACTAAATGGCCAAGTATCTAAATACCTGCAG